CACAGGACACCCCCTCCCAAAAAATTGCCGTACCTGCCCATCATTCCTCTCTCTTCCATTTTATTTCCGTGCTATACAAAGACACCTGTCATAGCATTCTGTGTAAATTACTACCTCTCCCAGGACCTGTATCTACAGCCAATCTTCTTTTTACACTTCAAAAAAAAAAAAGGAAAAAAAAAAAACCAAAACCCGGAAACCAAATGACTACTGTAGACACTCTTAAGTTCCCTGTCAATCGTTTCATTATAGCAGCATCATCTGTTTGAAAATATAAGCAATTCCCTCATCTAATTATAGGGAGGATTTGAGGTTCATTAACATTGCCAAGGCAGAGAATCAGATGTGCAACTGCAGAGCTGTGCTCAGTGGCCTGCATTCTCTGTTTCCTTTTATTTGCTTTTTCAAGGTCTCCAAGACTTTTTCCTGAAACCATAAAAGTAATTCTTTCCTTCAAAATAGACACGTGTGTTTAGAAAAAGGAAATGACTGCATTTTGTACTGTTCTATTATTGGGCAAGGTCACTGGAGAAAAATAATTTCACCTAAATCATTTTATCTCTGATTCTGGATGAATAAAAAAGAATAATAGTATGCAAACAACCATTACTTTTGAACAACAGATCACAGGAAACCTTGTGTTTGTCTCATAATTTTAAATATTGTACGGTAATGCGGATGAATAGGAAACCTAACATGCCAAGAAAACCTCTTAATTTTCAACACATTTTGTGGTTGTTTATGGATTAACGTGCTAGCCAAGTGTAAAATGTTGCCTTGTATTTCCTAACTGTGTTTAGAAACTGAGAACACCAAAGTCTTCATGATTGCTTCACTTCCTTAAAGAAATAATGGCTTTTTTTTTTTTTTTTTTTTTGTATGAATGTAGTTTAAACAATGACATTTTCTTGGGACATCTGTTTTGAGATCACATTTTGAATAGATATGAACTCATTTCCTACTAAGCAAGTAATTTACTATTGTTGATAGTTGTTTACAAGTTTTATGAGTCAGATTTTAGCAAGTGGCAAAGGTCTTTACAAATCCTTTGAGTATTCCCTAAAGTGTATGCATAGTGTTTTCATTATATAAAATGTTCGGGAAGCAAAAGTATAGGGACTGTTCTTCACTTCCTACCAAGTTATAGATAGCAAAGCCTAGCTCACAGAAATAGCTTTAAACATATTTATTTTCAAAGGCTTCTATCTTTTGCTGCTGCAGGTTAATGAAGTATGATAGCAGGGCAGCAAGTACTTAAGCAGCAAGGAAATAATTGAGCTGCTGTACCTATTTATAACTTTGGAGTATTAGATGGTAAATATACAACTGATCCTAATATCATCCTAAGATGTTAATATGACAAAGAGCAGAACCTCTTCAATGAAATTTAAAGTTTGACCTTGTCACTCTCTTTCTTTTAATTCTGCAATTACATAAAAAAACCCAAACAACAGGCAGCATAATCTTTTTTCGTTTGCTGCCATATGGAATTCATTTTTTAAACAAAAACCCAATAATTTATCTATCCTGCATGTTGTATGTAGAATTGCCACTAAAAAGAACCCGGGACATTTTTCCTTCTTATCTGCAATGTAGCTCATATCAGCCAAGCTGTCACAAGACAGTACTTGATATAAACAAGAGATTGCAAAGACATCTCAGTAATCAATATTAGGATGGCTACAGTATGGAAGCCCCAACCACTGCATATCATTTGTCTCAGCATCTATTTCTATGACCAAATGAAGCATTAATTCAAATCATAAATCTATGGTGATTTAAATCTGGGAATGAGCACCTGCCTGCTTTAATGATTTATTTTGTACATTTCAGTAAGCAGAAGATTTGTCCATATGAACTGACAGGTCACCTTCAGATGCCAGTAGCAGACTGTTTATCACCATGCAGACTAGCATCTCATCTTAGCAAGTAAATATTAAACTAAAAGAATCCAATTGATTGTGGATGGGGGAGAAAGGCGTTGCAGCCATATATTTTACTCAGTGTGCTAATACCTCTCTCTGATTCCTCTATAATTTCTTTTTTTTTTTCCTTTTTTTCCCCCCTTCTAAAATGATAATTCCGGTGGGAGGATGCAAGCTCAAGGTTACCATACAAAACTGAGGGATATAAAATAATTACTTATTAGTATCATTGGCTTCTTTTAACTCCCTTCACTCACTAACCTTTTGGCCACTGCTTCAAAGGACCAAGTTAATAAATTTGTGTAGTGCTCTGTATAATTATGCAATGTTTATCTACAAAAATGACTTCTATAATTCACATTAAGCACCTGATTAAAACCAAAAAGCAAGACAATTCAGAAGTAAACCTGACAATTCAACACAAGAGCCCATATTTTATTATCTTCTTTTACATAGGCATTGGAACAGCCTAAGAACACGGTATGCTCAATCCATGTACACTAATGTACCATAATGCCTGTTACATATGGGCTAAGATGTATCAGTTAAGCTTTTAGCCTGGTTGGTTAGTTGGTTTGTTCCTTTTCAGTTTGGTCAGGCACATACCATAATTTAAATATAAACCAAAATCAGGTTATTCTCTTTTGTTTTATTCCTTCTTCCTGTCAACATTCAGTAACGTAATATTTCAAATTCATGCCTAACAAGCCATACTTTAAAACATTAATGATATATGGACTTGATAATATTTATTTGAAAAGACATAAATAAACATCTGAAAAAAATGCAGGGGGGGAAAAAGCACACATCTACTACAAAGCAACACCTTTGAAATATGAGTTCTTGTCAAGGTAATACAATATGCTAATTTTCAAAAATGCAACTAATAAATAGAGACTTAACTCTTAATGAGCCTAATAATACCCTGGCATTAGTAGTAGTAGGAATCACTTCTCTGATTCCGTAGGCATAACTGACACTGGACACTAGATAGGGCTCACTATAAAAGAAACAATGAAATGCAAACTATTTTTGAGTAAACCTCCATAGGAAGAGTGTAGCTCAAACTGGATGCACAGACAAGCACACTGTATTTCCAGAACCATTCCTCATGGAATGGAGACAACTGGAATGCTATTCACTCTACTCAGAAGAGCCATTTTTTTCTGAACAAAATGAACTCAATTCTTCATTCAGTTAAATCGGGAAATTAACTGAAGTTAACAAGGAAGTTAAGGGGCTGTGAGGAAATTTTGACAATGACAATAAATAATCTTGCTTCGCTAACTTTGCCCTACTAAAACAGCTAGAATGTATTTTCTTAAACAGGGAAAATGATTAAGCTGTGTAAGAGGAGATTAGTTATCCAACTTATGCCTCAAACAATTATTTCAAAATAGATTTTTTTTCTTTTTTATTCAGAGGAAATTCAGATATTCCCTCCGACCACTCTCCTACAAATACTTCACATGGTTTAGGTGTTGATTACCTGTTAATTTTTCCATTTCCATGGATGTACAAATGGTTTGTCACTAGAACTGCCAAGGAGAATAACAGTTCCATAATCCAATATTTGAACATTTTATTTCACATAATACATTCAACTAAGTCTGAAATTCAAATCTAAACTAGCTTCTAGTTCTAGTACAGACTGTTTATCCTCCCAGTTTGTATTTACATTTTTTTCTCTTTCTCATTACTTCACTTTTCTTCCAGTATGTTAGGGGCCACCTGGCCCTTCCACTTCATTTGTACCTATCTCCTCCTCCCAGATTTCAAAGACACCTGCTCTCTACCCACTCTTGTCTCCTCTCCAAGAGGACAATCTTTCCACTAATATTCTAGTGACTGCACGTGTTGGTATCTGAGTACCTACACAACTAATTTATGACTATTTTCTTTGCCATCACAGAGGCATTTTTTTACGCCTTTCTTTAAACCGAAAACAAAAATCTGGTTCTCTCCTTATGCAGTAATGCATACATATTGTTGTTGTTTAAAATAGCGTGTGCCTAGGTGAACTGGTTCTTTGAACTGCAATTCACATTATTTCTAAATAATAGCCTACTGATGCCTACCAAACTGTACAGAAATGCTGTTCACAAACATATTTATTTATGTTAAGGCTAGTACATAACTCTCTAGGACTCATTTCAAATGTATTTAGGAGATGAAAAACTAAAAAATAAACAAAACTAAACAAGAGCCAAAATAAAAACAAACAAAAAATTCCTATCTTAAGCCATTTTTTTCCAATACACAACAATCTTGCCTGCAGTCTTCTGAACGTACCTCTTTGTCATTGGATTTCTGTTGCTGAGTTAATACTGTCTCAACATGATAAAAGGAGCCAATACAATGAAATGGCATAACAAAACATTTTAGAGCAGACACACACAGATGATTAAAGATTTAATCAACAACAACAAAAAGTTACTCTAGCTTTGAAGTATGCTTTAGCAAAACAAATCGTCCAGACAAATAAATAAAGTATACTGAAACAATTCTTTTTTGAGAAAGAACAAGAGTTGCTGATGGCTGCTTAAGAAATGGAAAAACCTGTTAACTACATTTTAAGAATGTGTTTATTAAAATAAAATATGATAGGAACTGCAGAGCATGGCAATAATTTATTGTGTATGTATGTTTTCCTTTTGTCACAGGACACATGAAAGTATGAAATATTTTGCTTTCAAGCTTGTGTTCTGAATTACCTAAAGTCGATACCCAGCACACTGAGCAGGAGACATTGTTAAATTTCACTTTGACACCATCATCTGTCACCCCACCTGTACTTTGAAAAATGAACTCTAAGCAATCAAACCACTTTCTTTCATGAAAAATATTAACTCGAGTCTGCAAAAGTAACCTGCAAAGGAAAGAATGTTTTTGTAATAGTAACAACAACGCTGAACGCTGCTGTAAAGGTCCGATACAAAATAAAACTAAAAACAGTAAGAAAAGGAAAACAAATATGCAACTTTTTACACCAAATCAAGGACTCCAGAAGGATCACCATTTTGATAAAATATCAGAGCATTAAGGACATATAATAATGCTGTGTCTGAGACTTACCAACACTTGAATTCAGATCTCCATTTTCAGAGTCTGCTCCATGCTGGTTATTATTTGCATGATAGTTGGACATAGCTTCCAATTTAATTTTTTTCACTTTCATTGCTTCTGCTATGGCGGCGTTGGGGGCAGCTCCTGCCGCTGCAGCTGCTGCTGTCAGGCCTGCAAAAAAGTATGAACAAAATTTAATATACTATGATTCTTCATTATTGTAGGGACTAAGACTGTTACTCTTCCTTTATGCTTGCTACGTAATGAACAGAGAACATTGCAGAGTATTATTCCTCTTGTTTGATTTGAAGTTTGTCAACTCTTTCAAGTAAAACGTTTCTCATTCTATTTAGACAGTTACTTCTATACGTCCACCTAAATCTTAATTTGGTATCCAGTAACTGCAGTCATAACACAATGACAACTAACTGGAGATACAAATACATGCTTTCAGAAATCTAACTTAGCTTCGAAATAGTGTCTTAAGTGTCTGGCTATGAATAGGTGAACACGTATATAACTGTACTTAGAAAAAAACCCCAAACCTTTAGATCTCAAATGTTTGCCATGCTAAAGAAAACAGAAAAAACCCAGGTCTATAACTTCTATTTAAGAATAACAGATGAAAGAACTCAGACATTTATTTCTCATTTCACACATAACAGCAAGGACATGTGGGCATTCTAGGAAGCGTTTTTAGAAAAAGGTTAGTGATGCTGAACATCATTGGTAAAATGATGTTTTGGGTTGATGGTTGGACTCGATGATCTTAGAGGTCTTTTCCAACCTTAATGATCCTATGAAAATACTTATTTTACTTTCCCCAAAACTTCAAGGCATTAAGGCATTTATCAATGAGAAGAGGAATTATTAAACCCATTTAATCCCAATCCCAAAGCCATCTTCAGGCAATCCAAGTGCTCTTCCTACCAAACCAAATTTCTGCCATCCAGCCATTTACAAGAATGTTCTACAAAAACAAGACAAGTTCTCTTTGTCAAAAGCAATTAGAGAAATGGTCCAGCAATGCCTTCAAAACTCAAAATTAGATACAGTCTTTACTCAACGTCGTAAGTTTTTGCCCTCTTCCCTGAGGCAGGATAATTTTTCTGCAGTCCCCGAACAGTGCTGCTACCCACTCAGACCCCTTTGCCCCAGCCTGAGTGGTAGTGGAGAGATGTCAGTGTCAAACTTCACAAGAGCTGCCTACCCCACACAACTGATCCAGGGGGCAGAGATGGAAATGAAAGAGAATTAAGTGTAAGAAAATAAAGAGAAGGCATTAAACCAGGTAAGTTTTATGCAATTACGCAATCTCAGCCCTCAGCCTGTGATGCCACACGAAGAGAACAGGCCCTAAGTCATTTTGAATCAAGATTCTTGCTCTGACCGTGGAGAAGGCTTGAAAAAAACTCAGTGTAATTAGTTTAAAGGTGCCTGCTTGTCTGATTTTCAGCTATGCTGAGAGGTGTGAAGTGTCTTATGGATCTCAAGAGGAATTAACTGCACAGCTTACTATTCTAGTGGGCCCAGGTTGCTGCCCAGCATAAGAAGAGTGCAATTTAGCAGGGAAGACCAAATAAGCAAATAATCCCAGGCTGCTGATATAAATATTGCTACCACCATTGCTTTCAAGAGCCTCTGGTTGTCTCCTTTGCCTCCTTAAAATGGAAAATGAGTTCACTCTTGCCATGTTTTCGGCTAGCAATGGGGAGCGACAGAAGGCAAAATCCATCAGGGAGAAGGCAGAAGGTGAACGGACATCAGGAATCTCTGCCATCCCAGGGAAAACAATGAGGTGGCATATGAGGTGCCTTTGAATATATTGTGGCTTGACTCAAGGTTGTTTTCCTTTAGTTCTTTGCACGATCACATAAAGATCAGCAAACAGTTCCAGCCTTCCGACCCTCCTCACAGGCTAACTTCTAACACCTCCAAGTGCAATGAGAATTACCAAGTATGTGATAATTATGTTCTGCATAGGCAGATCAATATTATTTAGAAAACTGCTATTTCAGGTAGAAGAAGATGTACCAAAAGCCAAAAATCAAATCAGAAGGTGGATAAATACAAGGGTTTAATTTTATTTTAGCTTCTTCTACTATTACAAATTGTGCATGTTTTGATCTTAAGAAGGTATTGACAATAACATGGATTGCTTCCAATGATATTTTTACCTTAGAGGAAGGATATGAAGTTATACATTATACAAATTTGGTTACAGTCCCTAAATTAGGCCACAGAAAAAGGGATGGTGCACCTCTGAACTTTGGTTTGCATCCTGTGCTCATTAAACAATACAATAACCTATACTTCCTTTTTTTATATACATCACTGACAAGCTAAAACTAGCATCTTTAAAGAACAATCCTTCAGAGGGATATTCAAATACGATACAACTAAGGAATACAACAGTAGGCCTCAAACTTTTGGCTGTGACTGCACTTCCAAACCAGCAGTTTTTAAGTGCTTCCAAAAATACCATATTAAACAGACACTGGACATTGGGCTTGTGAGCCCACCTGTAAATATTATATCTCACTGGGGTAATGACCCGGTCGCAGAACGGCTAAAATACAAACTCGCTTTTGCTACAAAATTTGCAAAAAAGTATATTTCAGTGCTTCTCTCCAAAGTAGGCCGTAATGCTTCTCTCTAGAGGAAGCCATAACCTTTGGATAGGGACTGGGAAACTAAACTACAGATTGCTTAGTTCTGTACTACAATTTTCGCAAGACAATGTTTGTGATAATAAGTGATAATTTAAAAAAAGCAGAAAATAAACCTCTAATTTCATTCCTTCTCTCATACAACCGCATAAGTGATTGAAATGATTACTTTGCTATACAGCAATTAATTTAAACTGTACGAATCTGCAAAGGGTGTCTCGTATGAGCACCAGTGTAAGGGGGGGGAAATATGAGTAAGAAATAATCCTCAGAATTATCACTTAATGCCATTTCTCACAGAAATTCCAGCCTACAGCACAGTTTATGCTTTACTGTTACTTTTTCCTATCCCTTGACTGTCACGATATAGCAAAGCAAGTGGTATGGAAAGTCCCCAGCCCTTTACTAGAGCCCCTTGCATTATAATCACTGGTGCACTGTGGTATACTGTGGTATGGCACACAACAAAACCTCCCCTCTAGCACAGGGCCCGACATCTCACTTATCTCACTAGCAAAGGCAGCCAAATATATCATAAGCAGAAGAGGTTAATTAGCTGCTATGTATCTATAAATATATTTTAAAATTCTAAACTTTAAAGTTCAGGTATGAGTATATACGTGGGTAAATACTTGGGATTTTTTTTAAATTGGTTGTTCGAGAAAGCCTTTTGACCTAAACATTATTTAATATCACTTTACTCTTACAACAAATAGCCAAGGAATTTCTGAGGTGCACACTTTTCTACACTACAGAGATTTTATCTTTAAATACGAAATAACCAGAAGTCACCTATAAAGGCAACTGAAGTGAAAGAAATAAGGATCACACCGAACAGCCACTTGTTTTTTTTTATTCTTTACAAATATTTATTTCAACAGTTAAAAAGTATGAAGGCCAAAATATTCAGTGGATTAAAGTCAATGGTAGTTGTCATTAATATTCTGAAATTGATAAGTTGTTTATGTCTGGCATTCTTCCTGCTGATTATGCAGTGAGACAGGCAGCTTTATAAATATCTCATCACTCCATCGTCACACAAATTTCATCGACAGTGCTCATGCACAGCTATTAGCAATATGAATCTAACCATTACAAGAGGAAAGAAAATCGAACATGTGGCATTAATACGCAGTCCTGGTTCCTAACCATCTGATAGGCAGATGGTGTAAAGCGGATTCTCCAGCTGAAATGAAGGGGCACATCATTTAAAACCTTGTTTGCATTCTAACTGATATCAGTGCCATATTGATATACATGATACATCATGGCAGTATTTGAACAATCTAGTTTGTTTCAGTCATAAATGTTTACAGCCTTGTTTTTTATCTTTAGAGGCATGTTCTGAAGAGCGTATTTTTAATTTATGAAACCTATTGTTTACTTCTGTTGAACCAGAAGATTAGCGAAGAGCAGGAATATTAAATTACCACAACCACAGCAGTATAACTAAGATGGATGAATAAAGTATGGTTTTTCAATAAAAGATGTTAGTAAAGGAATTAAAAAATTAGCCTAGACATTTTATGCATTAAATACATTTATTCATTTAAACCTTACAGCTTTTTTCCCATGTGACATACTTAGAACTTTAATGCTTTATAAAGCTATTCATTTAAATCTCTTACTGCGTGCAATTAATCTTGTCCAACAATTTAATTCAAAAAGCAAAACATCAGAAAGAAAAGTTCAATTCAACCATCACGTTTCTGAAGTAATTTCTATATTGCTGACAGTTCCTATAGACTCATCAGCAAAAGTCTGTTCAAGGTGTCTTGTAGGAGCCATATGAATTTGAATTACAGCTCAATTGAAAGCTCTCCAAGCCTTAGTAGGAACTCAGGAACAAGAAGCAGAACACCAAAAGAAAGCGTGAATGATCCTCTCCTACAAAGACCTTCTCTCTTCTGTCACTAGATTACTTTGGCCTGTTGGGTGTGTTTGTAGCTGTTAATTATGTTAATAAAGTTGCAGCCTGCTGCCTCTGCCAAATAAAATCGTAAGCTTTCTCCTGCCAAGTTCTAGTCTAATTTACACCCGTGCAACTCACTGAAGTCAGAATTCCGTGGGTGAGAATGAGACCAGAAGTATGCCCAGTATGTGTGGTCTCCAATGCTGAAAAATGAGTGAATGAAACAGAAAACAATGACAAAAAACATAGCATCTTCAGAAAACAATTCTGTTTTAAAAGCAAAACGCCCGAGCGAGCTGTCATATATCATGACAGATTTTCAAAATGTGTACAAATTACTGGTGGGCACTAAATCACATCCAGGGTTTCTGCCTTCCAACAAATACTATTCCCTGCCTTAAGAGAGAGCTCTTAAAACTTTTAGTTTTGATGGCAAAAGCAGCTTACAACACACCCTATTTGTGAAAGAAAAAAGAAAAGGAGCTATGAGCTTAACTTTTTCAGCCTCAAATATGTCTCAAAATACACACATTTGAACTGTATGTCTAAACTTGGTCCTGGGACAACTTACAAAATTATTTAATTAATTTATCTTAATCCACTTTTAACTTCCTTCATATAACTATGCCTAATAGTAATTATAATTCCTAATAATTATTCCAATAAATAATTAATAACTTCCTTAATATAACTACTACCTTCCTTTATATATACCATATATATACACACTTATGGGTACACAAAAAATCCAATAATATATATACGTATTTTCATAACCTCTTTCTTTAGGACTTTGAGAACTTTTTCAAGATACCTTACCTTTGGCATCACAGAACAGGCAGAAAACCAAAATACGACTGTCAGCAGAGTGTTACATTTAATTTCATTTATTTGCTGGAAAGTTCATCCTGCAGAAACGCTTTATTCATTGCGTGGGAGGAGGTCCAAATCTCATCTAAATTCTGAAAGAACTCCTTTCCTTTTTTCAAATTAATGCTTAGTCCTTTTTCTTATAGTTTATTTCAGTGGTACTGACTTGAAAATAATTCATGTCTTTTCTTGACTTAATTCCAGACTTCATATTGAGGTTCTTACTTGGGCAAAATTCTTACTAAAATGTGAAAAACTCTGCTTGAGTGAGAAAGGCAGGGTTACCTCCTAGGACTTGACCCCGATCACTGTAGATTATTGCACTGGTGTCACGGGTTTCAGCAGTTCAGGTACAAGTTTTTGGTAGCTTATTACGCTGCTGCCCAGTTATTTCAAATGAAATAGGATCCTAACCTTAGTCTCTGATCTAATGGGTGTTTTATATAGTGTGATACATAAAACAAGAAGGGGAAAGCAATCTGCAGGAGGACAGAGGTCTGATTACATAGGCTGGATTGCAGAAAGGGGAACTTCAGACTTCGCCGTAATGTTCCGCAAAAATATACTGAGTTTCATTAGTAGCATTCTTTATGTATAATGTAGGCCTGGAATCTCACAGTCATCCAGAAGCCTTATTTCTGTTAAGCTGCCTGGATTGATCCAATACAACAATATTGGTATACCCTAAAAATTTCATTACCTGTTATTTTGGGATAATGAAGAAATTCTTGTCTGGCCCTTCTAGCTGTATTTTCCTGATCAACTTGTGTGGTTCACCATAAACTCCTCATCCAGATAGTTTTTTAACATCTTTAAAAAGGCTATTATTAAAGGAGTCATGTAAAAAAAAGTGAAATAACTAATTGCACTTCAAATATGTTAAAGAAGGAATACTTAGAAAAATTCAGCCATGTGATCTGGGTTAGACTGATGCAACTAAAATGAAATTGCCAGTCTTGCACTGGGAGAAAACCAGTGTATGTGAGGCTCAAACCATCTGTTGTTCATCAGACTAATCAGACCTTTTTCCTGTAACTACTCCTAAATTGCAATATGAATTTTGAGGTCTGGGTATTGCATTTAAAATAAACAAGCAAAAGAGCTAAATTTCCACAGCAATCTTCAAATATAAAAATCTTTTTACTTACAATGTGTCTCCACAATTAATAACACATTTGCAGAAATAAAACATTGACCTAGAAAGAAGTAGTGTCCTCTTGATTTGTTTTGTTAAAAGTAGATAAAACTTAAGACTGTATTTTTTGAATGAGAACTACTGGCAGGTTCAATGATGCTGCAAAAACTATGTAAATGTAATTATTTTATCAC